AAACATCAGGGCTGGGAATCATTGATCAGCTGCCCCCTCCATTCCCCACACTGGGAATCGAGCCCACAACCTGGGCATGTGCCCTGACCAAGAATCGGACTGTGACCTCCTGGTTCATAGGTGGACACTCAACCTCTGTGCCACACCAGCCGGGCTGGAGGCACTTTTAAAAGGTGTGACGTGCTGTGCTCACACCAGGGAAGTGGACACTGACCACTGTGCTCTCCACAAGCCTCTGCCCACACTCCCCAGTCACTGCAGACATGGTCCTCTTTAGAGCTTCGTCAGGAATTGCACTTGGACAGTATGTCGAGGAGAGGCGTTGGAATTGCCTCTCTTCCCTGGGAAACAATGTGCCGACTGTAATATTTGATGTTTCAGTCGCAGTGGCGAGGATACAAGCAGAAGAAGGCCTACCAGGACCGTCTAGCGTACCTGCGCTCCCATAAAGATGAAGTCGTGAAGGTACGGCAGCCTGGGCGGGTCACTCCGTGTGGGGTGCCAGTATGACCTGTGTTGGGGTGAAGGACTTTTGTAATTTCCAGGGCCCTTTGTCCACAGATCCAGTCCCTGGCGAGGATGCATCAGGCGAGAAAGCGCTATAGAGATCGCCTGCAGTACTTCCGAGATCACGTGAGTCCCCTTGGGAAGCAGGGCCGGTGGGACCCGTTTTGCGATATTTCTGGCGGACAAATGACCAAAAGCATTTCTTCTCTGCTCCTTAGATAAATGACATTATCAAAATCCAGGCTTTTATTCGGGCAAACAAAGCTCGCGACGACTACAAGACTCTCAGTGAGTAACTGTGGCTCAGCGGAGGCGGCGTGGAGGCCCTCAGGGTCTGGGCATTCTCCACGGATCTCTTTCCTTTCCTGCAGGCAAGCCTGGGGGCCGGGGGCTGCTTGCGATTTAACCCCCTTTGCTAACCTGTGGCTGCATGTCCTGTTCTTCACCGTGTCAGCCTCTGTCACATCATAGCGATAGCGTGACCAAGAACACTGCACCCCGTGGTTGTCCTGGCTCATTTCACAGTTAAACAGACACCTGTGACTAGCGCTCATCCATAACCCTGACCTTCCTCGGGACTGGGAACTTGTCCTGGTAACTTCATTCTCATCTGACACGCGCTGTCTTTCCGCCAGTCAATGCCGAAGATCCGCCGATGATCGTGGTCCGGAAGTTTGTCCACCTGCTCGACCAGAGCGACCAGGATTTCCAGGAGGAGCTGGACCTCATGAAGATGCGGGAGGAGGTCATCACCCTCATTCGTTCCAACCAGCAGCTGGAGAACGACCTCAACCTCATGGATATCAAAATCGGACTGCTGGTGAAGAACAAGATCACGCTGCAGGTATGGGGCAGAGCTGGCGGGGCCACGGGGCGTGTCCTGTTTTGGCTTCCCGGCCTCACCCTCGCTGACTCATGGCTTCCTTCTCCTTGAAGGCCATAAACTTTTAAAAAGTGACAGAGGGAATGAAATGCTGTAATTTAATAGCAACATTTAAAATAGAGAAAAGAAGATACAAACCATCCCATAATCCTACCACCCCTCAATCATTTCCTATCGGACATTTTTACTTCATATTAGAAGATAAAATGTTTTCCATGTGATAAAGTCATAATATTATTTTTTAAAATACATTTTTATTGATTTCAGAGAGGAAGGGAGAGGGGGAGAGAGAGAAACATCAATGATGAGAGAGAATCATGGATTGGCTGCCTCCTGCACGCCCCACTCTGGGGATCAAGTCTATAGCCCAGGCTTGTGCCCTGACCGGGAATCAAACCGTGAACTCCTGGTTGATAGGTCGACACTCAGTCACTGAGCCACGCCAGCCAGGCAGTCGTAAATATTATTTTTAATGGCAGTGTGAGGAAGGTAGAGGGATAGAGAGCTAGAAACATCAATGAGAGAGAGACATTGATCCGCTGCCTCCTGCACACTCTCCACTGGGGATGTGCTCGCAACCAAGGTACATGCCCCTGACCGGAATCGAACCCGGTACCCCTGAGTCCGCAGGACGACGCTCTATCCACTGAGCCAAACCGGTCAGGGCTGCAGGGAAAGTCTTGATGTATATGTAGCTTTTATCGTATTTAAGGCTTTGTCTTCCAGGTAGACTCCCAGGAGTTGGCTTCCTAAGTCAGTGGATGTTTTTATGGATCAGGTTTTTTATAGGAAGATGAGGGTAGGACTGTGTTTGACTAATGTATTGAAAACAGGATACTCCGTCTGACTTGGAAGGGATCCGCCAGTGCCGCAAAAGACCCACAATGGCCAGCTTTGTCTCTGAAAGCTTTTTGATTTACGTGTTGGTTTGTGTTTACAGGATGTGGTTTCCCACAGTAAAAAACTTACCAAAAAAAATAAGGAACAGTTGTCTGATATGATGATGCTAAATAAACAGAAGGGAGGTCTCAAGGCTTTGAGCAAGGAGAAGAGAGAGAAATTGGAAGCGTATCAGCACCTGTTTTATTTATTGCAGGTGAGTGGCTCCTGGTAGTGGCCCTGAAAAATGTAGCTAATTTTCTTTTCATAAGCTAACCTTACCCATAGATCTCTGTGGAACTAGTTCTGATTTCCACTGAGGGGTGAGCAAAGAGCTGCCTTTTCTTTCTTTCTTTCTTTCTTTCTTTCTTCCTGTCTTTCTTTCCTTCTTTCTTTCTTTCTTTCTTTCTTTCTTTCTTTCTTTCTTTCTTTCCATTTTCTTTATTTCTTTCCTTATACACATTCTGATCCTTCGAGTCTATCAAACCTTGGATGTTTTTGCCAGCCTTTACATTATCTTAAATCCCTTCATTTCAGACCAACCCCACCTATCTGGCCAAGCTGATTTTTCAGATGCCCCAGAACAAGTCCACCAAGTTCATGGACTCGGTGATCTTTACCCTCTACAACTACGCCTCCAACCAGCGGGAGGAGTACCTGCTGCTGCGGCTCTTCAAGACGGCGCTCCAAGAGGAGATCAAGTACGGAGGGCCCCCCTCCCCCATACACCCCCCCAACCAGAGGCTCAGGGCTGGACAGTCAGGCTGCCTGCATCGTCCGCTTCCTGCTCTCAGCCAAGGCTGTGGCTTGTGTGAACTACTCGAAACAAGGATCTACTTGTTAAATTACTAATATAAAGTGCTGTTGCAGATTCTAGGGAGGTGATAAAGTAATACATTTTGCTAAATTAATTT